ATTAAATTTTATCATGACTTCAACAATTTCCACCCTTCCACCCCTTATCAACCTCAGCCTAGATTTAACTGTAGAAAAGTCCACTTCAGTGATGTCACTATAAAACCATACAATGAACCCATAAACATTATGTTATACAGAAAACCTATAGAAAGTCATACATAACTACATGCCACTAGCTCCCACCTGGAACACATCACCAAATCATTTTTAGTGTGTTTCTATGCTACAACCACATTTATTCTCAACCACTTGACAGCAGGGGTGGGATGCTACCGGTTCTGCCTGGCTCTATAGAACTGGTAGCTCTGAAGAGCAGCAGACACAGAACTGATGCAACACCGGTTGAATCCCACCCCTGCTAGACAGAGTTGCTCAGCTGATGAAATAAAACCCAGTATTTAGAAGACTGAATTATCCACCCAACGAAACAATAGACCAATCAATACATCCAGACCAATTCCCAGGGAGGACCTATACAATTGGTTGTCACCTACCTCTCAAAGCTAAACCCACTTAAACACATCACTAAGCTACAGTCCATACTAAACAAATGACACTATATTTTTTCATGCATTCTGTGACAAGCCCATACTTGCATAAAACCACTCAAAATATACCCATATACTCAAGTAATAAGGAACAACAGAACAATGATATCATATAAGAACCAGATCCTGCAATAAACCCAGATGTCTATTTTCCCTCAAATCACATGCCCCAACGAGTATACACATAAGATTAGAGCTGCCTTCACATACTCATCCTCCAAAGTGATATGTATCATCTGCAAGCAATGCCCTTCTGGATCCCTTTGCACAAAAGAACTAGTCTACACAAGTTTGACATTAGAATTCAAAGCAAGGACGAAGTAATATCAGTGTATTGTAATTTCCCAGGACATTCCATTGTAGATTTCAAAGTGACTGTTTTGGAAAAGTGGGATTTTAACAGCATCATTAAATGAGAAACTATTGAACTCATATTTCAAAAGGTTTCACAAAATCTCAGAAGGTCTCAACAAACATAATGGCTTTCTTTACAGTTGTTGACTCATGAGGTAAATGTAAAGTGTGAGCTGTATCTGCATAACCTAACCTATCTGTCTTACCTACCCTTCCCTCCTCCACCTTATTCCAATTTTAATCTTACATTAGTCTAGCCAGCCAATGCTGCTGCTCCCAAAAAGTTGTAACTTTTCATGACATTTGTTAGAAAAGCTCCTATCAGACTCCTGATTTTTTTTTGCTATCACAGACTAATCTGGCTGCCCGCCTTCAATCCTCTTAAATTACTTAGTTCTATCTTTGGAATCGTTACTCTCAAGCTAAATATCTTCTAGGATTATCACTCTGAAACTCTCTTATTCGTCACCTATACTCAAGACCAAAACCTTTTTCCTGTCCCTAGTGATTTGTCTCATTTCTTTATTTAGGTCTGTCTCCCACTTCATCTTTTCACTTAATCCTCAATGGCCTCATCATGTGATTCTCGTTCCTATTGCACTGTTACAGTGCCCATTTCCAATATTTATTTTTATTTGGCAGTGACACATAGGTCAGTAGCAATCTTCTGAGAGGAGAGAGAACTCTGGAGCACCCAGGAGCCTTTATTTGCTCACCATCTCTACTTTCTAATAATATTTGAGTTCACTTGGCCCAAAACTCATTTGGAGAAGAAAGCAATGAGGTAGTCAGATTGGTTGATAATACTATTCAAAGTAGCTAAAAACCAAAGAAGAGAGTGAAGATCTCCAACAGGATCTCTCTAAAACTGGATGAATGATCAAGCAAACTGCAAATGCAACTTTGTTTTAGTAAGCATACTGTGTCCAGATTGTCCTCAAGAGACGACTGTAATGGAGCCTAGAATTAAAAGTTGTAAGTTATTGCCGTGGCAAGCTGAGGCATCACAGGACTGGATTTGAACTTACAACCACTTTTATGATGGTCATTAAAACAAATCCACTTTCACCAATGGATATTTCCCCCTGGAAATTGGAAGTAAAATGCCCGAAACTGGCAAAACCATCACAAATAGTGATCACATTATGACAGGAAGCTACTTAATAGCACTATTTCCATGATGAAATCATCTGTTAATATCAGTGCACTTTGCTGTAGAACACCACTGTACCTGCTTCAAATGAACTCTCCGGTCTCTTCCCCCCCCTGTAACTTTTACCAAGTGCAACAAATTATTGCACAACAAAGGAAATATGCTGCCTTTCTAGGCCCTTCCACGTGTATGAATAGGATTGTACATTTTCCTAACCAAGAGGAAAATCAATTTCCAGAGCAAGGTAACACATGACCATTTTTAAATCAACCCACCCTGCCCTCTGCCCATTGTTCCTCATTCGGGTTAAGAACAAACTACAAGCATCTTTTCTGTATCCAAAATAAAAGGAGATACTTTAATTACAAGAAAGCAATATGGTGCATATGCTGTACACCATCACATTCATAAAGAAAAGGAGGAGGGAAGGGCAGCTTTAACAAGATTACACACATTGACTTTGATCAAGACACAGCAGCACGAAGGCATCCCAGGCTTTTTATTGCTGTCTTCAGGCTACACTTTAATAGTTACATTAGAAACATGTGAACACAGGCAGAAACTGAGTGATTTTTTTTTAAAGTGAGCAAGAGAACAGCACTTGCCTTACAAAATGTTTCCTGCAATATGTTGTTGGTTATGAGGAGAAAGTGAGGGCTGAGGAGCAGGTGAGTACTAGATTTTCATTCCACAGCTTAATTCCCTATTTTGAATGCTAGGCCATAAATTATGTGATAAAGCACATTAAACTTCATTCTTCTCTCATTTCCCCCCAAAAGGAACAGTGTTTGAACTGCAGGTAATAGAGCTGAATTTTTTTTTTTTTAGTCAGCAAGAGCCTAGCTAGAATCAATCTTGAACAGTAAAATTCAGAGTAAAATATAAGTATTCCAACTGGTATCTTTTAATAGCATTATCTTAAGGATGTAGATGTTATGTATATACCAATGCTTAACTTAAATAAATGCAAAATGTATAGGTAGAAATTGTATTATACTATTATTTCAGAAATTCCCAAACTTTCTTGGTTCACATCACCCACAGTGTCTTAGCAATTTTTCAGGGTGCCCCCAGCAGTTCCCAAACCATGCACTGTGGTACTCTGGGAAGCTGCAGCAAACTCATTAACAATTTTGTTTATTAAGCAGTGAAATATTCTGCGGCATCACTGTGAGTTTGCTGTCGCACCTCATGTGGCTAGACCACAGTGTTTGGAAACTGTGGCCCTATTTAGAATTTTGCTGATACTGTTTTATCTAGCAAAGTCCTATCAGATGGGTCAAAATAGGTCTTTCTGTAAAAAAATAGTACTTCTTTGATTCATAGAAGAGGACGTACTTGAAGTCACTGTGAGTGGTTAGGATGTATAGAAGAACTGCAACCTCCCTTTTCCTTCTCTAAGCATCTCCTTTTGAATTCAATTCATCTATACAGTATATGCATTTCAAAACTTTTTTGCTTGCATCTATGTTTTCATCTAGATGCTATACCAAAGCACTTAGTTTATAAAAATACAGCTCAATTGAGACAGCACGTTTTATCATATGATTTCATTAGGTGAGTTAATTGGTCAGTTTTATTTTGAATTTAGTCAACATATCATTTTTCTCATTAAATAATCCTGGCAAATTTTAAATCAAGATGAGAAAATTTATTTTTCTTTGTTTCATGGTGATAAAAGGAAATTGTTCTTAAAAAAATCAAGAGAGACACATTACACATTTGAGACCCACAATTTTAGTTTTGCATTCAATATCTCTGTTGAAATTTATTTGCAGAACCTACAAGACTGTTCCTATCTCATATACATTTCATTGTGTTAGTATTTGGGATCATTTTTACAAAGACAACAAATCACCGCCAAAGTGTGACATGAAGATTTTTTTAAGGAAAGTATATTAATTCCTCAACTAAGCCACTATTATTTTGAGGACTGCTTTCTTTTGAAACATATTTGCTCCATAAATGTAAAAACCCTTATGGATAGTCAGTACTAAATTTATTATAGTGAAAGAGGGCATGGGCAATAAAATACTATTTTCAGGCCCTAGCAGGAAAAAAAGAATTGTTGCATTTGCAGGTATTCTAGTTTAACAAGTTATCATGTGGATAGGGTTGAATAATGGACGCAACAAGACCAATTACTCCTATTTTATTTAGAGCTCATTTTGCAAAAACAAGCAAAAAAGCAAGGGGGGGTTGCACAAGTGTTTTAGGTACACCAGATGTGGCATGATATCGCAAGGGCCACATTTCCACAATATGTGGGACCTAGGGTTGCTTTGGCAGAGAGAAATAAAGTAGGAACCATTGGCCAGATTTTCGGGATTTAGCAGTTGTAAAGGGCAGGATGGGTACTTAAGCCTTAAAATACTTGGTACCAATTTCACAAGCAAAACCTGTACAGCAGGACTAAAAATCTGAAAGGAAGAAATTTACTTCCACATTTTCACTCTTATAAAAAAGCATTTCATTCATACTTTCTCACATTCTAACAGAATATCAATTATGAATTCTACTACCTGTAATTGAAAATCTTCCCTGCACTACATTAACTATATACCCAACACTCATTGAAGGAGAACAGCCTACCTTGCAAAGCCAATTTAAAGAAGCTTTCTACAAAAGGATGGGGAAATGAAAAGATGGATAATAAAATCATGATGGGACAATCAAAACTAATGGGCTATGTCTTAGGGGAACAGAGACCCCTAAGAGTCTCAGGGCCAGTTACTTGCAGGATCAACTCTCCCTGAGGGTATCTGCTAGTCCTACTGGATTAGACAGGGTAGGTGAGCTCCAGGCCCTCTCCTTTAAATGTTGCCATCTGATACGACCTTGGAAGCTTGCTTTCTTGGTGGCCACCCCAGTCCTTTGGAATACCTTCCCACTAGAGGGATGTCTACTCTTTCAGCCTCTTGGAGGACTATGAAGACCTGGCTCTTCCTCCAAGCAATGGACTAAGATGAGAGTTGATGTGTAAGGATGTTTGGTCTGGCACCTTGGGGGGAAGGGTACCTTTGTTTTTAACTATGTTTAATGGATTGTTGTGAGCCAGCTAATATCATTCTATGTAACAAGCAGCCATATATGGGTTTTAAAATAAAATACAATAAAAACGAAAAAGTAAAAAAAACACCTCATCCTAGACTTTTAGAAACAAAATAGAATGCTTCTCCAACCACCTCTGAGGGTGCAAAGGTACATGAGCTATTTGTTTCTATTACGATAGGATCTAGGTTCTTTTGACAGAAAGCCGTGCAAAAGAATATAACACGGAGAATGACTGCCATTTAGTAAAATAGAGGCACAGTATTTTGAAGAGGATTTTCAGGTAGGTGTAATTTCAACTTGGAAAAAAAAGGAATCTAATTTAAGCTACCCCCTAAGAAACTTACCAGAGTCCGCAGCCAGCACTCCTCACAGTGCACATGCCAGCACTGGATGGAAGTCAGGGGCATTGTATATGAATCCTATAAAAAGAAAGTAAAGTTACTGCATCACATACTATAAAATTATGGAAATTGCTGATTGAAACTGGAATTATGCAGGGCAGGACAGGATGCAGTAAGGACAACATATCTCTACATTTTATTTTCTCATTTGACCTCCATACCATTGCTTGATTTTATATGCATCTATAAACTGATGCACATTTGTAAATATAAAACGCAAATAAAATGCAAAACATATACCTTTGATCATACCTCAAAGAACACAGGCACAGTATAGAGCTGCATGCTTACATGTAGGTTAGGAACAAATTAAAGGTAACTTTTAAGCTTCAATTGTGGAAAATGGAGAAAAATCAACTGACTTTATTGATTAATCATTGAACAGATTAATTTCACATTAAGATACCACAATTTCTCTTTAACAAATACTTATAGCAAACTCTTGTTACAATCATTCAAACACATATATCTATTAAATGTAATATATGCTTGGTGTCTAGAGAGAGAAAGGTAAATGTTAAAAGACACCTGACATTCATGCCATTGGGAAGATGTGGGGAGATAATAGTTTCTAAGCAGACTTAATTGTACTGTGTCATAGGAAAAGATGCTTCCTAAAATAAAGCTATAGCTTAGAATGAAATACCCATAAAACAAAAAATCTGAGTTGTAAATCTGCACGTGTACAAAGTGATGTCAACTTCTGCAGACTCTGATCCACTAGAGGGAGCTTCAGCACTTCAATAATAATAAGTATAGTCAGGGGCTCCTTATTTACAGCCTTTCCCAGCTCCTGCCCTCCAAATGTTCTGTTGTGAACTCCCATAATCCACAGCCACCATGATCAAGGACACTTTTAAATAATTGTAAATAATTTTGTAAATGGTCTTCATTGAAGCATTACGCTTCAATAGGTTTTCATTCATAGGTTTTGAAATGAGTAAGTTACATGTTGCAAATCAGGAAGAAAAACATGAATATATGTTCTACAAATCAACAGCGGTATAGTTTATAAAAGCAAAGCCCATACGTTAGGCAAAAGTAATGTCGTACTATAACAGATACACTGATACTAACTTCAAAGAAAGAAAAAAAAGTGCTTTTCTTCAGAGTCAAGCAATAGTGGATGCTGCTGCAGTGCATCCCGTCAACAGTGCTGTTTTGCAACAGCCAAGGCAGAGGTATAGTGTCATTTCCTCATTCATGACCAGAACTGGCAAACTACTCACCATGCAAATGAGACATTTATAGCGGTCCCCACGGGAGAGCTGCCTTTCTAATTCACGAACGCGAGCCTTTAGCGCCTCAAATGTTGTCACTGCCGAGTCTTCTGTAATCCTAAAATAGATGACAAAGTCAGGGCTGGCTGAGTTCTTAGAAACATTTCGCTGATTTCATTATGTGCCAAGTGCAGTAGGCAAACCACACAGAGTTAGGGTACATCTTGGCTCTTAAGAAGTGATTAAACAGATAGAATCAAATCAGCTTATAAAGTATGTAGGCTTGAGAATCAGCTGAGGCAGCCAACACTGGAGAAGATTTAACGGCAAAGGTCAAGGAGCAAAGTAGACTTGTTGGCAAATACTGTACTGTACTCTGGAATGGGGAAAGTTGGAAGAATAATACTGATAAATTTCGTATGCTGTTTCCTTTTTGCCAAGTTGATGCTAATTTGACATTAAAAGCAGAACTCTTATGCAAGTGAACATTTCACAAAAAGTGGTATCATATCCACATGCACAAGAGAAATTTTCCAAAAGTTCTGATTTGACCACAAGCATTAAAAAGGATTGTTTATATATGTGCCAAGCACTTTCTTGCAATAGTTAACCAATGGAATGCTAATCTAATCAGAGTATATCTCTAAAAAGAACTTTTACTTCATTAAAAAAAGGAAACTTATCTACCAGAGGGTAAATCTGTGTGCTGCAAATATATTAGGTTTAAAAGATTGAGAGGGAATCAGCCATTGTCTAATATATTAATAATTCTAATTCTGTCATGGTTCAGAGGAGCAAGTAATCCAAAACAAGGGTTTCTTGTAAGTTCACATAAGGAGTAGGGATGCAATTCTTTAGGCTCATCCTTACTATGCCTATACAGTTTAAAAAACATCAACTTTCTGCAGAAATAAATTTGTTCTAACTAACTAGTTTAAGTAAAAACACATATTTGGCATATATACATTTTACTTTGGTAAGTTATGTTATCTCCTAATATTTTGCTTCTCTGTTTACTATAGTATACTCTGTTTATTTTATGGAAGTTTGTTTTATTGTATTTTTTATTGTATTTTTATCATGGGCTTATTCTATACAACACTCACGGGTTATTTTAATGATAAGCAATATAGAAAATTTACAAATAAATAAATGAAAACTGATAGAAAGTTAAGCTGGGTAGCATCCCTGATATGAAATCCTGCCAAAGGAAACTGAAGCTTGGAAAGAAAGGAGCAGGCTGTAATGGAAAAAGTCTTGTTTATAGGAATCCTAACAGTCCAACTCTCACTGGACAATTTCAGGAAGTGTCTCAGATGATCACTCTTGTCCAGTAATAAACAAATGAATCAGAAGGCTTAAATAGAAGCATATGCAACACCATTCAGGGTCTGTCTGATACAATGGTCAATCAATAGCAGGACTGTAGATCAGGGTGCTAGTTAGCTGGAAAATTACTGCAGTGTTGTGTGCGTCACGCTGGAGGGATCCTGGACAATCAATGAAGGAGGTATTGATTTAGTTATTATCACTTCATATGCTTCAGACATTGTTAAATATACATTTATTAAGGGAGGGATATAGGAAGACTTGAACAATATAACCTGCTCTTCCAACTTAGCCAGAATGCAACCTAGCGATAAAATATGTCCAATTCCAATCCCTCTTATAAAACTGTTACAATTTTGACACTCCTGTATAATTGCAGCTCTAGCAGCCGAGGAGTGGCCAAATGAACACAGACTATCTCTACAAGAGAAGTGGTTGGATATTCCCTTTCATTCCAATTTTGCTTCAGAATTCAGAATGCTTTCAAAATAAATTTCGCCTCAAGTTTATTTCAACAGAATACAAATTCCCTTCCTCCTCATAAATAGTCACACCATACATAACATTTCATAAATTTTATAGTCCCGCTGTTTATGTGTTCCTTGTAAAATATATTTAGAATTGATTATATGCAAGACAAATAAAATTTCATGGACTATATTCAACACCTGATCTCTTTATTCTTTCCATCTTTAAACATAATCCTTTTTTTTTTTTATAGGTCTGAAGCTTCAAACAAACTCAGGGCTTCTTATAAATTTTTCATAAGAACATGAATTCCCTCCCTGCTAACTACTTTATCATGGAATTATCTGGTGACGAACATGTGCATCAAAATGAGATACCCCAAAATAAATTTTGTTTTCTATAAATACAGAAATAAACACAATCTTTGTTAGATTGCTTTTTCTAAGGGAAAACATGTACAAATACAAATAAACAACAAATCTAAAGAAAAAATGGTATATAAAATTATATGGCAACCTAGTAATTATTATAATTCAGTACGAGCAAAATGATCTGAATGAACCTGCGGGCACATTATTTCCAGATTGGCATGGATTTTTTCATTTTTTCACACTTTAATATAAAAATACACTAGATTTTGTGCAATTAAAAAATTCAGTTATGCATTTTATTCACTACACTCAAGATAGTCTATACTGAGTAGTTTTCTAAAATATCATCACATTTAAGTTGATTAATTTTTTTAAAAACCCATCCCATTTTCCTTCAATCAGCATATTAAAAAACAGCAATTGATAAAGGATTTAAAAGTACAAACATCTTTAAATCTGATCTTTATTCCCTATGTACTTTGTGTCTAATTATATTTCTGAAGTATCAATTCTTGTTCCCTGGCTACACATTGTTGCATGAAATGCAGCTATGTTCTTTTAAAAACTTCTATCGTAGAAATCACATATACTATCGATACTAGGTAAGTCTGACAATTTTTCCACCTATAGAATCAGAGCTTTTTATCCCTAAAACCGGCTAATGTGCAAAATAAATTTTCTATTATAGTTTTCTCATAACCCACAAAAAATCATCTTGATGTTTTCAGTCGCCCAGTAACAAACTACATAATACTGCATCTATTTCAATGGTTCCACTTACTAGTTATCATATAAAGTATATAATTGTGAGACTACAATGATACGTTTTTGGTATTTAGTAAGAAAAATATATAAAAAAGCAGGTCTTGTGGTTAACCAAACAGAAAACATTTGCAGAAAATGTGTAAAAATCATATTCAAAACAAAGTTAAAATGTGGGTATAGGTGCAAGTTTCAGTACAGTTTTAAGAGGACACAACATAATCAAACTGGAGATGAAAACATTATAAAGTTTGCGCTATCAAAACCCTGTATTAACGTCAATAACAACAGCAGAATATGTAAAATGAAAGCTTTATCTCATTTGGATTTTTTTCACTGGTAATCATACAGTTTTGTATAGCAACAAAAGCAGCTCAAGTATCACCCTGACTAACTCACTTCTACCAGCCAAAACACTTACATCTTACAATAACCTTCCATATTTAGCTCATTAACTAAATTCAATAGAGATGATAGTGCTCCAGTTCAGGTAGCAGCAAGAAAGCAAGCTGGGTCAGGCCATGCAGAAGAGATCTCTTTCAACACTCAAAGAGTTTTACGGTAGCTTTACCCTGAAAGAGGGTAATTAACGGATCTATCAAATCTGCTAAAGTGGAAAATTTCACCTTTGGGGAAGCATATTCTGCCCAGTATTAGGAACTTATACATGTAAAATATACAGTATTTCTGTTAGTTTGGAATTGCAACTATACTTAAGTGTCACATAGGATTTACAGAATTATTGCGGCCGATGGGAGACTGGCCATAGCTAATGTAGAAGTCCAATCACAAATTATGTAGAATATTCAATGAACAACTGAGACAGAATAGGGTTATGTTCATAGGCCCAAAAGATAGACTACGCTATTCATCTGGAATTGAAACAGAATGAGAGAATACATTTTTATCACTTAATATAGAAATTGGTGTTCCCATTTGACACAAGAATGTCTACTGCTTGGTATCTTGTAAGCTAACCTCGAAAAAAGGCTGATGTGGAATCTTGTGAAGGAATGCTGCCTCCATTGAGGAACTGACAAGAATTCTAATGTTGAAGATGGGTATCCTTCCATCTTGATTAATATACTCTTTCTAGGAACATATATTCAGAATTTTGTTCGCCTATAATTATAGTAGTGGCTTATTCTGGCGATGTGCTCTAGCTGCTGGTTGCCAAGTTATGAATAATGCAGTATTCCACGGCCTAATTTCCATGTTCTCAACTGAAAATTTAGAAAATGCTGCATGCAAGGGTGAGTATCTGTAAAGTAGAGGCCCTCTGTGCCACAAGAGCCTCTATTTTTATACTTGCTTGCACAACTTGTTAATTCTACCAGCTGCTTGCCAAGTGTGGAGTTTTCTGTTGACTAATTTAATCTTCATGCAAAGCAAAAGTGTTGAGTTGCTCAACTCACAGAGGAATTATTCTTCTTCCACTTGTATGCTCTATCACAGTGGCATGGCAAGAAAGCTTACTGTCACAAGAAAGCATTCTAAGCTTCCCCAAGGAATTGCTTTACAGAAAGATTCATTATGCTGTTTTCACACCCCTATCCCTTCACTAACATGGAGTTTCAGAATGTCTCTGCAGGAGCAGAGAATGAATCTAGGAGTTGGCATGCAGCCTTCTCTCCTTCCAAACTTACATGCTAGGCCTGAATCAAACTGCACACAGATGGCACCAACAATCAATGTAAAGGGTAAGAAGCTTTTGAGTCGCATGATTAGAGGAATGGGTGGGGTTGCCAAGTTTAGTAGCTGGGGTCAATTTTTTAAATTTTATTTTAGAAGAGAAAGGATGAACTTGCATCAAAATTCTAAATGTATAATTTAAGCAATATGCACCACTTAAAAGGCAGGAAAACAAATTGTAAACCGAGGAAGCAGTTTATATGGAAAGATTCTACTCTTATACTGAAGTAATGGTGTCTAGTTTCCCTCACATGCCAAACTAATGTACTTCACTCTTTTTTAAAAACAGGATAACATGCATTTCGTAGAATCAATCAAAGAAATGTAAGCAAACTGTTCAAAAAAATGGCAGAAACAGTAAGTCTTATCATGTTAACAAAGTTACATGAAATTCTCAATAGTCAAATGAATACTAAATGATCATAAAAGAACTCCTGGATGATGATATGAGTCTTGCCTGACAACACAAAACATTTGGGTCAGGTTCTCATAAAAA